CTGTTCTTCGGATTCCACGTTTCGAACAGAATGTCTGTTGGGGCATTCGTTTCCCCAATGTCCTTCCAGATGACAGATCCTATAAACTGTTCTTCCACGCCTCTTTCCTTTTCCTTTCTTTCCTTTGCCTTTACTCTTCCCTTTACCTTTCCTGCCTTTTCCACCTTTCTTGCCTTTACCTTTTCCTCTTCCTTTACCTCGGCCTTTGCCTTTACCTCTTCCACGACCAAACCTGAATCCTCGGCCTGCCTGCATGGCTCCGAATCCTCCAAACATTTTGCCATAGCCTTTCTTACCTGTTCCTTTTCCAGTACCTTTTCCTTTCCATCCTTTTCCTTTGTACTCTACTCGGTTCACTTCCATCGCTTGGTGTCCTCCACCAGTGGGTGCGTTCTCCACAAGGTACTGTTGACTGTGTCCAGACTCCAGAGGTCGGTATACTTGATTCGGCATCCAACTCCTTGTTGTCCGTTCGTAAACAAGTACACTTTCCTTCACCTGGGCATACGTAGTCTTGTCCGTAAGCTGAAGATGAATATGCTCTTTCAAGGGGCTCTTTCAAGGGGCTAGGAATACATCTCAAGAGTGTAGAGAAAAGAATTTCTCGAGGATAGCTTTGTCCACTACACCTTTCGTAGTCCTTGACCAATTCTTCCAGCTTAGAGATTTGCGCTACTGAACTCAATCCAGGCGAAAAGTTCGGGTATCCATGAATTGCCTGCATCAGAGCCAAGCTTCTACTCCGGGTGCTCGGTTGGTATATTCTCAGCAATGACTTCCACAAGGTTAAAGCAAATCCATTTCTTGATCCAGCAATGCTTCGGTCTCGTGCATGCTGCTTCGTGGCCCCTGTCAACCACGAGCTCAGCAACGAGTAAAGCTTCGTGGACATGGTCTGCTGTTCTCTGTCTGCGAAAGTAGCTGGCAATACTTCATGGTCCTCTAGTTTCTCCAGATTCCTAAAGGCATCCGCATACTTGGGTTCAGCATACGCAAGAATGTTGTACAGTTGTTCCTTGCACTCCATGAAATCTTGTACTTCAGTTTTACCTCCGCCGAATGACGGCGGCCTGCCCAACATTTTCACTGCACCTTCCAACGCCTTAGACAGCATACTTTCATACGAGCCTTGATTTCCAGTGTAGGTAACTAGCTGGTTGATTGCTTCAGCGGTGACTCTATATAGAGTTCTGAACTAGTTGTCCGAGTATATCTTGAGTAGGTACCATACCTAATCCGTCTTCGTCTCCATCTTGCACCGGTCCTGCTGAGGCCTGTGCTTGTGGACTTCCTCCTTGCATTGCTTCCGTCCTGACAAGCATGCATGCAAATACCATTGCTCTAATCCGCTTGCATCCACTCACTTTACGTCTCCAACGAATACTGAACATCCGATTAACTTTCCATCGCACACAAGCGCATGTGACTTCTTTTTGAGTTCTTCCTGCGAGAAGAGTTGATCCGAATACGCAGCTACACAAGAGCTGAAGAACTAGTGATACAAATGTGCAACTTAAAGTTGCCAGTACAGCTTTTGCTGTCGGCCCCAGCGCCGTTACGTCACAGATCTTCCTTGTCGATCTCTGCGACTGCATTTCCAGCTGGGTCTCCGGCTCCACCAAGATGCTCAGGAGGTGGATTTCCTTCTCTGGCATCGATTTCCTCCGAGTCCGGATCTTCTTCCCTTTCGCTGGACTCGCTGGCTTCGGAATCCGACATCCGTTCATCACTCCCTGCTTCGTCTGGTCCTGGACCAGGCTCTGGTTCTTCCGGTTCTGTCTCCTTGGCATCCTTATTCTTCTCAGAGAGGTCGGCTTCTTTCGCGAGCTCCTCCATGGCTTTCTGGGCTTCCCTTGAGGCAAGAGTCTTACGCAGTTTCTCCTTCTGGTGTTCTTCCATCTTACTGCGAAGTTCTTCTCGGCTTGGTGTGGCAATAGGTCCTTCCTCATTTTCCACCAGGTCCACCACATTCCTGCTCGGCGTGACATCCTTAGCAGTCCAAATCTCCTGCTTAGCCTTTCCTTCTGGCTCAGCTTTCTGCTTGGAACTGGCTGCTTTCCTTGCTTCTTTTCCACGTGCTTCAGCTTCCTCCGGCGACAGCAAAGGGAAAGTACCAGGGGCTTCCTTCTTCGCCACCTCGATGTACTTCTCGTTCGCTCGTGAGATTTCCCGTGACATACTTCCAAAGTCACACAAGGCAACCATGGGGAAGTACTTCTTGTAGGGGTTATCATCTCCGTGGAATCCTGGTCGGGATATCCCCCGCATCAGGAATAACTTCCTTGTTGTCCGGGATCGTTCCAGTATGCACAACATTGGCTCGTACATACAAAATTGGAGTGAGCTGAACTTGCATCCTTTCTTCCAATGTCCTCCATGCCAGCACGAGGAACATAAACTTTTTCCTGGGGGTAGCGATCCGTAAATCGTTCTACCTCTCTCAGTTTCCGTCGCTTCGGTGTCCAGTCTTCCCTTGCCGGCTGGGTGCACGGACCAAGGTTCGACACTTCTTCCAGATCCTTTACACTCCCGTTTGCTAGGGATGAGGCGGATGGAATACTCTTCAAGCTGCTGGGAGACTTCCTCGTAGTCCGACTCGCCTGCAAGCTGCCATGGGAATCCATAAAGGGGCTGCACTTCTCCATTCTTCCCTTCTCCAAATCCTCGCATGGCGATGTTGCGCAGAATCTTCCCAACTTCGTGCGTCCACTCCCTGGTGAACGGTGGCTTGCATCCTGGGAGAAATTCCTCTCCATCACGCAACTGGTGTCGCGTTTCTGGCCAATCCTCCTCGTAGATCCGCTCCGTCCATTCTTTTCCAGGGGTTTCCTCCGGCGTCTTACCTTTCCCAGACTTCCTTTTGTCCCGAATCTTCTTCTCCTTGTCTTCCTCAGTCCTTTCGGGATCCTTTTGTCCAGGTAGCTTTGGCATCTTCTTGGGCATAGCTTTAACAGCTGGCTCCTGCACCATCGTGGTGCTTTCATATATGCCCAACACACATTTTTCCAATGCCTTTCTTCACCATATCGGATTGCCACTCGGATCGTCTTTGCCATTTCCGTTTGCACGCGTTCCGACTCACGCAAGAACGCGCTCTGGCATTTGTCCAACGCCTTGCATTGGCTAAGCCATTCCTTCTCTGCGGCTTTAGCGCTTTGGATGACTTCATCCTTTCTCGCTCGCAACTTGTCCACAACTTCTCGAGCTTTTCCACGGTACCCTTCTTCCGCTGGGTCCACAGCTTCCATTCCACGGGCACCTGGATCTTACTCGACTGACGGTTGGCTTCCTGAAGTTCTTTGGCTCTCCGTTCAGCTTCTTCCACGGCACGGATACGTTTTGCTTCATCCTCAAGTTCTTGTTGCTTCCTCTTCGACTCGGCTTCCACAGTCCGCTTCCTTTCTCCCAGCTCCTCAAGCTGTCTCTTCCGAGACTCTGCTTCTGCTCTTTTCTCCTCTTCTTCCTTGAGAGCTTCGAGACGTTCTGTCTCCAAGTCCTTTCCTGGAGAGTCTTGGATTGATCTGGGCTTGAAGTGCCAAATGTTCCGCAACATCTGGTTGTAGATACTACGGAAAGGGGGCTGAGAATTCCTGTCGAGAGTAAACCACTTATACTCTTTCTCAAGCAACATAACGTTCTCAATGCATCCTGCGACTTCGCTTCATCCAGTCTTCGCCGAACGCTGCCAGGACTTGCTGCTTCTTCCAGCTTCCTTTTCTCTTTATCAGTTAGCAGGTTTCAAAAGCAATGTTTTAATGGTTTCTATCAATCTACTGACCCCGACGACGTATCATATAATCTTATTGACGTATCATATAATCCGGGCATGCATAAAAGCCATACATATAATCATATAATATGTATATTATATATACATATAATATATATATATATATATATATATATATATATATATAATATAAATATATATATATATATATATATATATATAGACTTATGTAGCATATATAACTCCGCATATACGACATGAGCTTGCCAGAGAGTTTATTTACAGCTCAGAGCTGGAAGCAGGAGGAACATGCGACGACGCATGGATGCCGCAGCCGCATGTGACCGAGCCAGAGGGTTCGCTAGAATTTGATTGTTTGTACCAAGTAAAGGATGGACGTCGACCGATTGTTGCAGAACTTTCTCGCGGCAGAACAAGATGCAGCCTGCGCTGAGAATCCAGTTCCTGCGGCTGCTGATGCAGCCGTGCCTCCGCCAGTGCGTTTGCATTCAATATGGTCTCATCCTCGAAGAGCTATATGTGCCTACGCTCGATCCAAACGGTTTCTTCGCTGATCAGAAAGCAAATATCAAAGATTTGCGTAATGAGTCGTCCAGTTAAATCCTGTTGAGCTACGAGTGTTTTGCCAGTCGAACGAGAAGCGATGTCGAAATTCTGCGTGCGCGCATGACATCTGAGGGTTTCGAAGCAGCAGACTCAGAGGGAGGCCAAAACCAATGCTTTGGCGCAACAGCTGTCGGAAAAGTACGCCATCCGCAACAGTGACATTATCGGGGCAGCTGGGCATCGATTCTAAGTGAAAGAGTCAGTTAAAGACTGTTGTCAAGTTGATAGACATTACGACCTGAATGAAGGCTTAATGAAGGGTCTTTTGGGTGCTCCATTCGTCAAGCATGTCGAGGCAGTGTGTCGAATCCAGTAATTAGTTGGCTAGACTACAAGTCGTGAACCCCAAGCAGTCCCAGTCCAAGACAACATGTAGAGCAGTGCATCGCATATCCGAGAAGCAACTAAAACTACGCACGTGGTGAACATTTGTCATGTGCCAGTTCTTACTTGTGGGCCACATGTGGGAAGATTTTTTTCATAATCGGATTTTCAAACATATGCAAAGGGAAAAAGGACTCAAAGTCTATTTGCAAATGAATCCAATCACAAGCAACATAAGATTCCAAGTAATCCGGCATAAGATGCATCGCACTGTCCTTCATTTTGCACGGGGCGAAACACGGTCTGGCGACCGCCCCCTTCACCCCTTCTTAGTAATCCTTGCGGGAGCCAGGAGGGCCTTAAGGTCACAACCCGACAAGGGGCACGAGGGACTAACCCTACGACACCCAGAATTAAGCAGATCGGCGAAGTCGCCACGCGACGGAGCATCCGCCACATTGCTCTGGCTGGCTACACGGGCGAACCAAGACCAAGAAGCACTGAGCTCTTCGGCCGCCTCGAAAGACAACAAGATGTCCCTGACATGATGATTTACAGAGGTGCCTTTGATAAAGGCGTCTTGCGCTGGCACATTGTCTATGTAGAAGATACATCTGTGTCCCGCGATGAATTGGTGCCAAGCCTTCCTCGCGACGGCAACGGCATAGGCCTCAATGGGCCCAATAAAGTGACACATGGAGTCAGCCCAACGCGAGACTAGGACATCAGGGACAGAGCAACCAAAGTAAGCGTGAACCTGATTCTGAATCATCAACACCCCGCCAACGGTGTGAGAGCTACATTCGCTCGCTCCATCGGTGTAAATGTGCACAACGTGATCGGCGACAGAGCAAGGGACATGGCGAGGCGTGCCACAACGAAGTCGTTTCAGCAACCGCTCAAGAGAGCTCCGAACAAACTCATCAAGCTTCAACTCAGGTCCAGAATGCGACTTTGCCCACGACCTGACCTCGGCCATGAAGAGCCGTCCAGCCTTGCCAAGGATGTACGAGTCGGTGTAATGCAAGCGACCCATTAAGCTTAGATACCGCTTCCGAGAAATCAAACCTTCCTCAAGGACTTCGTCAAGAGAGGCAATGAGCTCTTCGGCCCGGCCAGGCTTGTTCCTGACTAGGACCAGGCCTTCGGAAAAGCGAGAGCAATCAACCTCCACTCCAAGCATCGTGGCTTGGGCCTTAAAGGGGGAAAGCTTATCAGAGGCGAACCTAAACCCCAACAGGTTACACAGGGCAATCATGGTCTCCATGGTGTTGTCAGCAATGCCACTCGGAGACATGACAGGGAAGTCATCGTAAAAGTTGCACCAAGGCACACACAGCTCCACGCCGATGCGCCAGAATAGGCGCGCAAGGCGATTGAAGTGAAGCACCGAAGCGGAACTCCCGAAAGGTAGGGCCTTCGACTCAAAGAGTCCAGGCTCAGCAGTCGAAGGGTCAAGCAATGCGATTATTGCCAGGGCCCGCGACTTCGCAGAAACCGCAAATTGCTTATAAGCCGCTCGGAGGTCCAAGGTAGTGAGGAGAGGCTCGCACCCCACCTTCTTCCAGCCGTCATGCCGACGACCACTCAAGGATTCACCAGTTGAGAGAGGGATTGTGAAATCGGGCGGCCCGTTCAGAACCCGAATCCACAACCTGCTGATCCCAATCAACTCGTCAAGCGCGTTAAGATCAAGCTTATCCATCGAGCCGAAAGCCAAATTGACCTTGTTCTCAGTGAAATCATCAACAGGTCTAAGTTTACGGCCGGCGGAGGAAGTCTGTTCAACGCCGAACCGGCGAGTAGGGAGCCAGCACGGCCCGTGTCGAGACAACAACTCCTCAGCAGAAAGCGGTCCCTCAAGAATGCCATCAGCCACCTCATCAAGAGTCTTGTCCCACAGCTCGCGAGCATTCGCATCGGATGCAGAAGCACGAATCTTTCCAAGTAAAGCGGGCTGCAGAAACTGTGCGGCACTAATGAAATCACTTTCGGCCAACTTAGGTGGCCTGGGCTCGTGAGCGAAAACTCCAGTGTGTTCATGATGGCCCACCAAGTCAAAACCATTGCGCAGTTCATCGAAAACCTTCATGTCAACCCAACCAAGGGAGCCGGCAATACGCTCCAGAAGCTTTAGCCTTTTTCCTTGCAAAACCTTGGCGACCTGAGGATCAAGCGCCTCCTTCAAAGCACGTTCCTCGCCTTCGAGGTCGGAGGCCCAGGACGTCCACTTCCTGAGTAGGGCCGCCCTCCGTTGCACAACCCAGGTCGGGCCATTGACCAACATGTCAAAAATGCATTGTTTGAGACGATCAGGAGCGGCATGCAGGTGATCGAAAGGATGAGTAACCTTTCTGCACCCATCAAGAAATTCATCGGGAGAGGCGTACACACCAAGGCGAACCTCAAAAGCTCTCGCATCGCAAGTAGGCTCCAAGGTCCGCGCACAGGAGGCATCGCTGTCAGAACCGTGCACGGATTCGCAACTGCTGGCATCACTGCTAGAACTATCCGAGTGCACAACCTCATCCCGGGAAAACTTCAACGAAGACCCAGAACCACCCCCGCTTAGCAGTAAAGAGGTCGAAGAGAGAAGTTTGGACCCAGAAGGAGCATCGCGGAGGGGTTGCAAAATGCACCGCTTGGAATCAACAGGCGGCAGAGCATGAACTTGGTAGACAAGCACACGCTTGAACTCAGGCATAACAGGAGGCAGTTTACGCCCGCGAGGTTGCCGAGCAGAAGAAGTGGCAGCAGCGGCAGGCGTGGCCGCAGTAGGATGCACAGGCAAGGGACGACCCAAGTGCCTAAAGACCAGCGCCACGAACTGTTGGCAAAAGGGCCTGGGGTAGGCTGCCTCCTGCGCAGTAGGAAAAGACATCGTGCCATCAGCGCGGCGCTGTGGCTTCCACGGAAGGTGGTCGTGCCCACCCGGACAGCGCTGGCGAAAATATTCGATGGCATCACAAGAAGTAAGCAGCGTACGGTGAGTCAATCGTGCACCACCATAGCAACACATGTCGAAATTGACCCTCGGAAAATTCTTTACCAAATGAGCAAAACAGGGCAGCTGCCAAAGCATGCTTGACTCAGGATTCTCAACTGTCCATGGGATGTTGGACCTGCAAAGCAAATCAAGAAACTGGGCAAGGCCAACGTAAATTTTGTTTGCAGCCTTGACCTTGTCAAGGTTGACACCAGTCAGCGAAGGCAAACCCATGGGATGCTCAGGAGAGCGAAGCGGGGCCACGGACACCCCTTTTCGCTTTATGTTGCGCGCTGCGGAGCACGTGCCACAAGGCGGGGCAGCGTGCACGAAGAGTATAGGATGATCACGCACCAAATTGCGCAAGAAGACCCAAGTGGACTCCTCGGTCAAGCTGAGATTGCAGACCTGCGCCAACGGATGATGGCGGTTGTGCTGGTGATCAATGGGCATGACAGGCACACCCGCTTCACGAAAGCAGCGAGAAAGCATGGCGGTGCCGGCACATAGCTCAAGAAAAAGTGGTTCTTTGGGAACCAACGCCTCGGTAAAAGCCTTGGTTGCTGAAGCACTCGACAGCAGAGGGAAACGCGGCGGCCACGGCAGGCGAGCAGGCAGCTGTGGGTGCGCACGGAAGTGCTCGACCTCTGGCTCGGTTGGCAAGGCAAAATCAAGTGAAATCAAGCGTTGCGAAGCCTCGAGAGACAGCTTATCAAAGGCCGAAATAGAGAAAGCAACCAAAATGACCCTCCTGCCCTGCCACGAATCAGTGAGGTGCATCTGCCTGCGTGCATCAAACAGGACAGGGCCATCCGACACAGGCAATGCCACCCCTTGAAGGGTTGCACCATCAACAGTCCGAGTGCGGGGACCCTTGCTGGATTGCACCCAAATTGAACCTTTAGTAAAACGGGACAAGGGAATGGCCAAATTAGGCAAGAAGGAATTCTGCTGATCACGATGCGGGGCCGTGCGAACGCCATCAAAAAGCACGACGGTTGTGAACTTGTGGGCAGGAGCAGACTGCCTTACAAAAGCAGCCAGCACCTGCGTGGACTTTGGAAAAACAGCGACATTGCTCCTGAGTCCCACCTTGACCTTGGCAAAGGCCCCAGTGGTAAATGAAATGCCGCCACCGGAGCCGCGTTGCGGCGCAGCTTTCGGGAGGCAATCGAAAAGCTTCAAAACATCAGCCTGTTCAATCCACTTCCCAATCAGACTTGAAGCGAATTCTTCAGCGGAAGGCAACCCATTTGGACCTGCATGCAAAACTTCCCCTTCAGGGACACTGCATTCAGAAGAAGAGCGCACGAGAGGCTCACCGCTCGGCGCAGCATCTTTCTCGTCCGTCGTTTGGTCCATGGATTGCACACCTAGTCACTCCTTCTTGCGTTTGGGACACGCCGTGTATCCATGATCTCTCTTGAAACATCCTTTGATGCAGCAGACATGGAGTCCTCGCTCGCACTTCCCATTGGATACAGCTCTCTGGCAACGGCCTAAGTTAAAGTCGAAACAGATTGGCAATCCGCGAGTCGTGGATGGAACTCCGTCTGCAAGCTCAGCGGGCATACGGACATTGTTCTTGCTCTTTCCTTTACCCTTGCCTTTCCCCTTGCCTTTCCAGGGCCTTCGGTCATCGTACGGGCCAGGCCCGAAAGGAGCCGGAGGGGCTGCGACCAAAGGCTGCAAAAGGTGTGTGACATTATTGCAATTCATTGCCTCGTTCCAAATCTTATCAACTGGCTTGCCGTCAGAAACAAGTTGGATTCCATGCCGAGTGCGATCTGCTGCTTCAACAAACAGCTGCCGTTCAGCCTGCATAAGCTGCTGCAGCGTCACACGTGCATAGTTATCAGGTGGATCCCTGAAACGCGCGGTAAAAAGTGCTTCCACCCACCGCTCGTGCTCCGAAAAGGTGACTATCCCTGCCTGGTCTAGGGCCAAACCTCGACGGGTCAATGCCAGCTTGAGGAGAAGGTCTGAGGACACATCAGCATCAACCTTTGCAACCTGGGTGCGTAGAGACACATGACCGGCACCATCAACGGACAACATCTTATCATCGCGATCCTTCTTGAACTTGACCTCATCATCACGGCAAGGGCACGACTGAGGCGGCAAGTAATGAAGCACGTTATCCTCATACATCTGAACGCACTTATCGATCACGGCATGACCCGGAAGAGTCGGGCCGTGGATCGTCAAACCACTCAGCCGAACCTGCTGTCGCTGCAACCTGTCGGCCCGGTCGGGCGCTGCGAGCTTTCTCGGAGCAGAGTCATCGGTCCTTTCAACCTGTGATTGTAATTCAGACACAGTTAGGTTGTAGCTCTCATGCAGCAAGCGGCGAAGCACACTGAGCTCCGCAATCGAAGGGTCACGCCCAAGCACTTTGACGATGGCAGCAGTGAATGGGCTCTCATCCGTGCTCCCGGGCACGTATGAGCTCAAGAAAGCACACTTGCTCATGCAATCAATGCCAGCGTCAACGAACTTCACCAGCACTGGATCCTCCAATCCAAGAGCCTTCGCCCTCGAAGAGAAGTTTGCCTTGCTCTCTGTGACGGCCAGGGCGCAAAAACCTGTCAAGGCACTATGGGGTCTCCAGCCAAAGTGCACACTCACCGCAAACGACAAATGCACTTGCAAACCGCTGACTGTCGGACACAGGTTCAGCACGATCACACATACTTGACGGCGCCCGGCAAGTATTTCACACGACACTCGTGTTCAGCATGTTCTAAAAACTCGCATGACACCAGACAAGTAAGTCGGTGCCACATCAAAACCAGGCCAGTGCCCGAAATCCGTACATGTGCCACCGCGTGGACCGGTGGCATCACGCACTCACGCACATCGTGAAACCCGCAAGGGTCAGACAATTGAGCCGAGTGGGTCCAGCTCATCCAATTCCAAGCCGCGAAGTCCGGCAAACCACAAGTGCGCAAGCACATCAAACCATCACCGAGTGAGTCCGGCGAGCACCGCGTGTACCGGCTTCCACAAGTGCGCAAATCACTTGAAACAGTTTTGGCACATGTCTGCCATAAACCTAGGCCTCTCAGCAAGACGCTCGAACTTCTTTGAGCACCTCTTCCCACAGCGAAGCCGGTTCCCGCCCTCATCAGCGAGACGGTGAAGCTTGCGGGAAGTAATGTGCCTGATGTACACATGGGCATCAGGGTCTCCCACAGCTAACTCGGCCCAAGGCGGTATGATCTCATCAGCCGCAGCCTCTTCAGCACGAAGGTCCTGAACGTTGTCCTCTTCGTCCAATGACGCCTCCGAGGCCGACGGTTCATCATTGAACTCCGGACCTGGTTCGCGCTCGGGATCAGTTGGGAAATAGCCCGAACGCGTGGTGTCCGGGAGGAACTTGCCGATCCTTATATCGGCGAGCACGTACTCAAGAGACCTCAGAGCAGGCGCAACATTGTCACGCCCATAGATGTGCATCATCTCATCCTGCGGAGCCTTGTGATATCCCAAAATCCTCCGGTGCAGCGCGTCAACACCGTACTTTGACATCCAAGACAAGGTCGTAGCCTTACAGCTGTGAGTACCAAGCTTTGAGGCTTCAGGGAAACCTCTGGCAGACAAAATCCCGCGCAACCAACCAGCTGCTACAGTGGCCGTGGGCGGAACACCCGACCATCCGCCCTCCTGACCACGGCTGGGCAGGAGAGGAAAATCTTCTCCCTCGGGAATGGCGAGGTCCTCACGAAGGCTCATCCACGTCCTGAACCAAGGCACGGACGCCACCCCGCACAATGGCCCCACCATAGGAAGCAATGCTGTTTTCCTCTCCAAGGAGAAACTGGTCTTCGTCCTTGAAGTCTCACCTTGGAAGTACCCTGCAAGTGGTCCCATGAAAGAGTCCGGCTCATCCAAAACCAGATTCATCAGGGCCTGGCCATCACTGTATCTAGCACGAAGATAAATGCAGAGTAAGAAAAAGCCTGCACACAGCCTGTCAACATCATTATCTGACTCATCCACAACAAGGCGCTCCAATCTCTTGACCATAGCAACGGTGAGTGGCGGCTTCTGTCGCCTCTTCCTCTTTTTAAGAAAAGAGGCACGCGCAAGCCCTGTAAGGCGGCCACTGCAAAGGGAGTCAGAGAAAGACTCAGCACCCAAAACGAACTTGCAAAACGCCAACGAGGACATGAGTGCCTTGCCGAAAGACGGCGCGCTGGAATCCTCCAAATCAAGCAGGAACTCACACACATCTTTCTCTCTCAGTGGCAGCGGCTGGAGACGCCGCTTCTTGGCCCACGCCACAAAACGGAGCAACGGTCCCGCACGATTGTGCAGTGTACCCGCAGCTTTGCCCGAAAAGGTGTGCAGCAAACCTTGCGAGACTGCGGAATCCTGGCAGGACGCGGCAGCACACCTGCGGCCAACATCAAAGGTGAGTGGATCCTCAAGGACGATAGACACCCACTTCTGAATGGCAGCACGCAGCTTCTTGTCAAGGTGCACACTCCAAGAGTCCTGCAGCCTGACCCTGCCCAGGGCAAGCTTGACAACAGAAGCAACGGTAACCTGGGAAGACACCATCTTGGGCACTGGCACAGACATGACAGGCGGCATGGGCCCGCTGGCACGTGCCATACCGGCAAACAAATTGGCAGAAGGCTTAAGTTTAACATCCCAGGATCGGACAAACCCAGTCTTATTGAACTTGCGCATGCAAGACGCCAAATGTGCCTCGTACGACCCAAAGGCCATGGCGGCATCCCTCCGGCGACTGTCACCTGCCTCAGAAACCCCACCTTCAGAAGATGCAGGGGGCATGGAGCCGGAGGCCATGAAAGCTGAAAGCTTAATCCTCAATGGAAGCGGTGAGCCCTCATAAAACCAGCGACGCACTGCCGGAGCTCAGACTGAGCAGTGACAAGCAGCAGAGCAGGCCCCCTGTTGCAGCTCGAGTCCATCCGCTGGTCACACGAGACCAGCCTGCACACCCTCTAAGAGGGAACGTCAGAAAAGGGGGCCCGGTTAAAAGCAGGAGCAGTTAGGGTCTCACGCCCAAGTTTCACAGAAAATTCTTTCACAACTCAGCTCGAGCACTGAGCTGCTGCATACCAAGGTTGTGTCATCAAGACCAAAAGAGGCGATGCGCTGAAGTCAATGCAAAAATTGTCACGTGCAAAAACAAGCCATGCCAAGTTTTTGAAACCAAGTTTGAAAATGCTCGCTTCAAGCTCGCGGTCCTTTTATGAAAAAGGGATCGCAGATGGCGCAGGCTTGTCTGCTGAGATCCGTTCGTCTGAAGGACAAGAAGGTCGATGCATGCCGTGGAAAAGGCAAATACAAGGAGTGGACACCCGCAGCTCTTCTGAAGATTGCGCACCTTGTCGATAATGGAATTTGTATTCAATGCTGTCAATACGCGGCAGCATACGTGAATACTGCATACTTGCAACGTCGCATGATTGGCGTAGTTGGATATGTGCTTTGCGGACTTGGCTCCTGCCAAGGTTCGGCCATGCCACGTCAGAAATCAAACAGACTGGCGGCAAGACTTCTTGCCCGACGCAGTTTAGCGCCAGAAGTGCTGCCTATTGGTTCCAGGGAAGCCACGGCTACGTGCAGAAGGCAGCTCCGTGCGAGCGATTCACCCCACATACTTCCCCAAACAAGGGCGTGGTAACTTACAGTGGTCAGTGGTAAGTGGTAGTAGAATCAAAGCATTGGGTTTCTTGCGCCCGTAGGGGTTCCTTGTGGTGTGCTATCGGTTTTCGCATCAGTTAATGCCGAGGTGGTTTGCTTTTCGGCTTCGTGAAAACAGTTTTTGGGTGCAGCGCGCTTCGATAGGATCTTCAAGTCTTGGGCCGTGCTTATGTCGGGTTTGCAGGGTTTTGGACGGGTTAGGTTGGGGCGGTGGGTAGGCTTTGAATCTTACAAATGAGGGTTTTTCGGTATGTACTTAATTACTTAACTTATTATCTACTTGGTTCCATTGGTTTGTTTTGCTGAAATCGAAACCTGAATTGTGACAAATGGCACATGGTTTTACCTGGGCTGCAAGCACAAACTGGCCAATGAATTACCCAAGGTCCTCCTCCCAAGCCCTTGAGCACTTGAGCATGGTCTTCGGGAACTTTTCGGATATTTCTGGGCATTGTCACAGGCGAGGAATGCGCTGTCTCAGCTCTACATGGAGAAGCAAGCGCAAGGTGCAGCACAGCTTGTCCAGGAGCAGTGCGATTGGAAGAAGTGTTTCGGTTCAAGTTATTCGGGTGTTATGCTGGTCAACCTGGAGTATCCTGTATGAACAAAAGGAATGTCCGCTGCTAATGATGACTCCGTCGCGCAATTTACGGTGATTCGGTGTCGGTGTCGGTCTTAATTTCGAGGCGACGTGTGATGAAGATGTTGTTAAACAACTATGATGATGAAGAACTGTTCTGAGTTATGGGTTTGCAGCTTCTCAACCACGGTAAGCAACCGCCTACTGTCCAGCATTGCTATGCACTGGTCGATTCATGAATAGTCTTGTTGCCAACCACCCAAGGTTGCAGATCGAGATGGACGAGACCGGACAGATGATGCAGTTACGATCGTCATGGGAGCGCGTAACTGGTGTGTTCCCAGTGTTTATTCAGAGATGGGCGGCATCCTGGGCAAGGGGAGGCTGTGCCATTATGTGTCTTGACGCATCATGTAAACAGGTTGACGTATGAAGATAGAATCTGACGAAGGCTATTTGTTTTGTGGTGGTTTGTCCACCTCCCCCCTCCTCTCCCCCCCACTCCCCACCTCCCCCCCTCCCCCCTCCCCCTCCCCTCTGCACTGTGCATTTTGGGATCTTAGGGAGGCCCCCCTCCCCCGCCCCCCCCCCGTCCCCGAGGCGTGGGTTTGGGCCCCCCCCCCCCTTAGGGGGTTTGGGCGGGTGGGTGGGGTGGGGGCGGTTTGGAATGAGTTGTTTTCCAACGGCGAGGGGGGGGGAAGGGGGGGGTGAAACCATAAACCTTAAAGGGGGTAGCTCTAACAGGTACCTACAGCAATGGCTGCATGCTCATACATATACATTCCGCTGCCCATTGGCTCACAGTGGTTTTACTATATTGAGACAAGACAAGCTCTCCTTGCGTAGCAAGACAAAACAACTACTGTCCGTGTGCAGGGCGCTGCCCTTTGATCCTTAGGGAATAAACTGGTCATACACCTCCTCACAAGGAGTATCCCTTGGGGGTGTATCGGCACAGTTTTCTGGTAGCGGAGCCCGGAAAGGGCCGCCCGCCTCACAAAGTCCGCTACAGCGGTCGGCCTCGCCGAACGCTTAACCAAGCGGATAAGAGGCAGCACAATGTCGAGCTCGCATAGCGAAGCCGACGGCAGTTCCCAATCCTCCGGGGGATATGAGAACGAAGAGACCTCCCAAGGTCCAGCTACTTATGTCGCACAGTCATATGCAACATCTGACCGCATGCTTGCATCATTAGGCATAACGCCCAAGATCGCGCCTGCCTATGATGGCACCACCTCGTGGTTTGAGTATGAACAGTTGATTGACGACTGGTGCGATATAACAACGCTGGATGATACCAAAAGAGGTCCGTCTCTCAAGACGAGGCTCTCCGGATTGGCCGCAGTACAAAAAGAATCACTCAACAGAGAAAGGCTTGCAGCCCCAGACGGAGTAGATTACTTCAAGAAGAAGATGCGTCCATTTTTCGTGAAAGGAGAACAGTACGTTTTCCTGTGGCGTTTTCTCGGCCTATTCAAGGCATGGAAGGGCAACCAAGACTTTGTGACTTGGATTGCTAAGTTTGAGATCGTGCTACAGCGCGTGAGAAACTCATGGATGGATCTCTTACCAGAGATAATTCTGGAAGATGCCCATCCGGATTTCATGCAGGCTGTGCAAGCAGATCAAACCTTCATGCGCCTACAGGATGCAACCGAGAGAGACACATACGCCGCACGTTTCTTCGAAACATGGAACAAGGAACGCCTTGATAATCATCGAAGAGCGTTTCCTCTAAATGATAATCTCCTAGCTCTCCTCTTCCTAGTGCAGTCCGACCTAAATGAGATGCAACGTGAGAGGTTGGTAACAGCATTGACCAACCAAGGTTACCGAATTGAGACCTACACGTACCCTATAGTACGGCAGACCATGTTCGATCAGTTCTCAACGACCAGAACTGGTCTGCAGGATCCCAATATTCGGCACACTTCTCACAAGAAGGACCGCCATGGAAGGAGAGATCAACGCCGCAAACGCGGAGGTCGAAACTTCCTCATCCTCGATCAGGGTGAATACGATGGAGTCGATGGATTCTGGCTTCAAGACGAAGACACCCTTGAGGAAGGCTTTCTTGCCGCCGAGGATGAAGAAGCTGTCTTCTGGACAGTTGACGACCATGAGGCCTTCGTTGCAAGGAGATTCAAAAAGGGAAGAAGACCAAGAATGCGTCCCGGATCACCGGGAAGAGCAAAGGGTGGCAAGCGAAAAGGACGTGGCCGTTTTAGGTCATACCGCGGAAAAGGGAGAGCCAACCAGGCAGAACATGATCCAACTGATTCCAGCTATTTCGGTAAAGGTAAAGGAAAAGAAAAAGGAAAAGGTGGAAAAGGCAAAGGAAAAGGAAAGGACAAAGGAGATAAAGGAAGCTCCTTCAAGGGTACAAAATCAAAAGGCAAAGGTAAGGATACAGCTAAGTCTGCCTCCTTACAAGGAGACCAAACTGGATCTCCACAGGCCTATGAAAGTTCCACCGCACCGAGCTGGGATTCATGGTATGAGGACAGTTATTATACTGACTCCAGTTGGAATTATGCCGCTTATGACGATCAAACGTCTTATACATACTATGCATCACAAGCCTCACGAAGAAAGACACGGAGAAAGAAGAGAAGAAATCAAGCAGGATCATCAGGTAGAGGCACAGATCCGAGCGCGCACCAAGAACCCGTGTACAACTCATCAGTGAGTTACGCGCCCCAGGTTTTTGAACCATCCGAGGGGCAAGGTGTGGAGACTGCAACAGCAGTGTTTCCGTTGCAGCACACCGTCCTATCTGCTCTCACAGAGCGGATCAATCTTGATAAGAGCCCTACCTTTGTCATACTTGACTCTGGTTGTACTAGGGCTATGGGTTCCCGCTATGCGGTGAACAGGCTTATCAAGGCCGTGAAGCAACATGCCCCAGGCATGATTGATTTCACTTTTTCACCTTCGAACACGAAGTTCTCTTTCGCAGATAGTGAAACAGCTCTTATCAAGGAGCGTGTAACTCTATGGTTTAACACAACTCCAAGAAGAGATACAACCATAGAAGTTTTGGATCAGGGAAGAGTCCCCATCTTGTTCTCCATTGAACAGATGAGAAATCTAAGAATGACCCTCGAGTGTAGTCCAACAGCTGACCTAGCAACGTGTGAAGCTTTCGGTTTGTATAAAACCCCTCTTCCGATTAGTACCAATAACCATTTGGTATTGGACCTTCTAGGCTTTACTTCCACCAGGAAGTACCTTCCTAAGTCAGGTACATCGTTCCGTGCGACGGAGACTGCTCTAGGAGCCAATAAGCCTTATGTTAGGATACCGGAAGGTCGCTGTCCAGCCTGTGCCGGACAGAAAAAGGCTCACACGTACCTCA